CTTCCAAATCAACGCTTATTCGTTTTCATCATGCTCAAAAAACTGTAGAAGAGTTTCAAGTTAGATTGGGTGATGATCAACTCGATTTTAGAGGAGAAGTTAAATTTCTTGGAGTTCATTTTGATTCGAACTTAAATTGGAAGGCCCACTCACATCAAAAATGTATTCTCAAAGCTATGTGTTGAGGCAATTAAAAACCATCTTAACAGCTGAACAATTGATACAAGTTTATTTTGCTAATGTGGATTCGAGATTAAGATATGGAGTATGTTTCTGGAGTTGGTCGACGCGCTCTGAAGATGTATTTGTGTCTCAAAAAAGATGCATCATTAGCAGGCATCTCACCAACAGAAAGTTGCAAAAAATATTTTATAGGTTTCAACATTTTAACTGTCCCTTCGTTGTATATATATGAATTGTGCTTACATGTTTTTAAAAATAATGAAAAATCCAAGCGAAATTGTGATATGCATAATTATGATACAAGGAATTTATATGTAAACTTCAGCAAATCAAAAGCGGCATTTCGATCACTTAATAAAATTGGTCCGCTTCTTTTTAATGATTTACCATGCCACATTACCTCGGTTAAAAATATTAATGACTTCAAGTTCCTGTTGAAACAATTTTTGATAATCAAGTGCTTTTATCGTGTTGATGAATTTTTCAACATTGCAATTTGAGATTAGTTGTAGGTTTGTAGCGAACGAAAAATTGACAATTCCAATACAATTATATATTGTCTGTATGGAAATAAAGGTTATTGATTGATTGATTGAATCAATTTTTTAATGTAAATCCTACAGACTTAGGCATGAGGCTATCTCGTTAACTAAGTTCAAGTAACCTTTACACATCTCAACCATTGGCTTAAAAACATTCTAATGTTTATCCAAAAGGTTATAGCTTGCGTTGTAACTTTACAGTGCTCTTATATTTGATCATAACATTGATTGATTCTAGATGAATAAAAGTAAAGCTGAAATAAGTTAACGACATTTTTATAAATCTCCCGTCTAGCTGGGAAGCGCTTTAGTTTCATGAGTACTTATGTTTTCAATCCCCTGTTGGATATAATGAACATGAATTAACTTTATTTTCGGCAAGGTAATCCACTTACACAGTATCCGACACACTTAATGTACTTCAGATATTCCTCGAACGCATCATTTCTCGTAATGAACTTGAGAATAATGGCCTCTGTGGTGATATTTCAAACAACTAGTCTTCGGGGTGTCAATTCTTGAGTGCAGTAGAATTGAACGCTGACTAGAGAATGATCCCTAATTCTGATAGCTGTTAACGTGTATCAATCAAGTTTGTGAAATAATCTGTTTTTGACAAAATCGTATGTTCCTAGATTGGTCATACCATTAGACGTTTCATCATGAAGATAATTTCGGCTTTAGAGAGACTGATGGACGATGTGACGGTGAGGTTTCCGAATATTTTCTCCCGAGAATGACCCAGCGATTCCTTTAACATTGTCCAGGAATACAGTTCCATACAAGGTAAGAGAACCATGCCCACTTTCAGTCGGGTACTATACTCCATTATTTCATAAATTGACCCTCAACGAGTATACCTGGTTTTCCAGACAGCTTTATTTAGCTAGCCGCGAAGCCCCTATGACCAAAATCAATAACAATGTTTTTGTTTCATTACGTTTTAAAATTAGACCTCTAAAAAACACCGAGTAGCTGTTAATATAAATTTATTCCAGGTCAATCTATTTGTCAAGCAATTGCAAGCAGTTCATAAAGGGTGTATCAATAAGAACGCCACATTCGAATTACACGCCATTTTGGTAGTCATAATGTCATAACGATTGTAACATGACATATCGATAGTAGATAGGAGGGAGTTGATGAAAATGAATCACTACACAATAGGACAGCGCATCTTCATTGTTGAAAATTATTATCAAAGACGTAAATGTTCGGTAGGAATAATGCTTCTACCCCATCCACTGTTAAAAAAAATTCGAAAGTACTAGTTCAGTTAATGATTTGAAGCATACGACCCAAGCTCACAACGGTCGTTCAGAAGTGAATGTTCGCAGTTCGCCGAGAGTATAGCCAGCGACATCGATTTGTCATCGCGCTCAAGAATTAGACATTGAAACAGCCACTGTCCAGCGTATTCTAGCGAAAGATAGACACCTCCATGGCTGCAAAGTCCAAATGACTCAACTGCTTGTGCCAGGAGACCATGCGCAGCGGAGAGAGCTCAGCAACTGGATCCTTGACCGACAGGATATGAATGCTGATTTTGAGGACAAAATCATCTTCTCTCTCATCTCGATGGCTTCGTCAATAGCCGCATTTAGAACACAGAGTATCCAAGACCAATTCATGAGAAAGCGTTGCGTCAAAACGTGTCACTGTTTGGTATGCACTATGGTGTGGATGAATTATTGGATCGTTTCTCTTTGAGGATAAGGCAGGTATCCACTAACAGTGCATGTCGAACGTTATGGTGAAATGATACTCATTTTTGTGCCACAATTAGAAGCCATAATGACATATGGTTTCAGCAGTATGGTGCCGCGGAAGAAATAGAGTACCAAAGAACATTGTACTGCTTGATGATGGATTAACCATTAGAAATCCACAAGAAATTTCTAATTATTTTAACTACTATTTTAAACAGGCTCCTTTGGATATTATTCAAAAAATAACTAAGGATACAAATCCAGTTCCAAGTGATCATACCTGCGACCAAAAATCTTTTATGTTTTTATACCCTTTCTTGGAGGAAGAATTCTATAAATTAATGATAAGTTAAAAAACAAGCGTTCTTCAGGCACCGATGAAGTTCCGAATTTCTTAGTCAAGAAAATATTATTGTACATAACCAAACCTTTTGTTTTTCTAGTTAATTTATCATTCTGCACTGGTGTATTTCCAAACAACCTGAAAACAGGAAAAGTAACTCCAATTCTTAAGAAAGGAGATACTTCTTTTGTTAGCAATTACAGACCGGTGACTGTTCCATGCTGTTTTTCCAAGATTCTTGAGTATTGTTTTTTAGATCGACTTCTGCTGTTCTTGGAAAGCAATGACACTCTATCATCCAATCAACATGGTTTCCGTATTGGAAAATCAACCATGACCGCATGTCATTCCTGTATTGAGGCAGGAGAATGCCCGGTTGGGATATTTTGCGACCTCAGTAGGGCGTTCGACTGCGTCAGTCATGACATACTATTAGCCAAACTAACAGACTATGGAATTGGTGGTTCAACCTACCTGTGGATAAAATCGTACTTGCAGAATAGGTCACAATTCGTGGCAATAACACACAACAACGCTGGTCAACTGAAGCAGGTCAAATCGGATATGGTTAACATAAATATAGGCGTACCACAAGGGTCTATATTGGGGCCAGTGCTGTTTTCCCTTTATATAAATAACCTGGAGCAATGTTTCCCTGAAGCACATTTCACGTTGTTTGCAGACGATGCCTCCATCATTATATTAAATAAAGACGAGGCTGATTTAATAAATAAATGTAACACCTTAGTGTACAACATCAATAGCCGGTTCGAAGAAAATCAGTTACTTCTTAATAGCGAGAAGACCACAGTTATAAGGTTCCATAACATTCAAAAGTCGATCCCACCGATTCAGCTTATTCTGAACGGTTCAGCACTGCAGAGTGATAAAAGCACTAAGTTTTTAGGGCTCCACTTAGACCAATGTCTCAACTTTAAAGGACATTGCGATTATCTATCATCAAAAATAAATTCACAAGCATATTTATTCAAGAACCTGAGATCTGTTTTTACAGAGAATCAGCTATTGATGTTGTATCATGGTCAGGTTGAGTCTCGCATGCTGTATGCTTTGTGCTTCTGGGGCTCATCGGTGAACGCTTCTAAGGTGTTCCTAAGTCAAAAACGGCTGGTGAGGTGTATGGTGGGAGTAAGCAGCACTTATAGTTGCAGAGAGTTATTCAAGAGATTAAAAATAATGACACTGCCTTCGCTTTTTCTCTACAATATGGCTATCTATACTTTTTCAAACAAAGATGATTTCACCTTGAATAGTCATATACATCAAATGGGCACTCGCAGACAAAACGACATCCATATACCTTTTGCGCGTTATAAGTTAGGCAGCAGATCACCATGTATTTTAGGTCCTAAAATTTTTAACAACCTGCCTGACTCCATAAAAAGGATCACCTCAATAGGCCAATTCAAATGTGAGCTGAAAAGCTACTTTATAAGTAACTGTTTTTATGCAATTAGCGACTTTGTCAGCTTTTAAATATCGTTTTTTATCACTAATTTTAACTTGTTTGTTGTTGGATGTTATTTGTTTGTTTTTTTTTTATTTATTTATTTACTTTGTACATATTTACTTATTGTATCTTTTTGACGAAACCTATACATGTTCATGCATGTCTAATGGAAAATAAATTCATTATTATTATTATTATTATTATTATTATTAAGCCATCTCCCGGTTTAGTGACCAGAATTGGCCTCCACGCTCGTGCGATTTAACACTTTTGGACTTTAGGCTCTGGGATTATCTGAAGTCACAAGTTTAAGCCAACAAGCCTGCAACCACCGAAGCATTGAAAGCTAAAATCAGGCGGTGTATCAAGATACCACGATATGTGTTCAAAAATGTTATCACAAATTTTACTAAAAGAGTGCGCATGTGCCAGCGGAGCCGGGGCAGCCATTTACCTGATGTGTTGTTTCATACATAATTCCAGAGTAACGAAATACCATGTTTTATAGAACCTTCAAATATTGCGTCCGTATTTTGTGACAACCTGAGATAATAGTCCTCAACATCTAGAGGGCGAATAACGTCCCTTCCTGCTTATAAATCAAAACTTTGATATAAGATACATTTAAAATGTTTATTACACCATAAACGAACTTCTACAATATCTAACGTTATGGTTAAAATTACATCTTTTCACTTTAAGTAACCCACTGCATCACTTCCCCCATGCACCTATAAACTAGTTTCATTTACCTCGGAAAAAGGATAATCCAAACTCCCAAAAAAATCCTTCTCGTATTCCGTGTAAAAATTCGATCCCTCCCACGCTTCCTTCTTGATCTCAAAGTTGCAAATATGGTTGCACTTATCCAGAATTCCCTGCTCCTGGCCTTTCTCCATCTCTTCCACCTGCCTGACAAAGCTGCATCTTCTCTCCAGTTTTCCATCTCCTTCAGGTATAGTGATTTGAGGAAGTTGACTTTGGAGTGAGGGAGTCGATTGGAGAGGAAGATGGTTATGCTGGTGGATGAGGTTTGAGTGAGTGTGAGGCAGTTGCAGCTCTTTCTGCACCGGAATGCAGATAGATGGACTTTCTCTGATCCCTCCGCGTCTTGGAGGTTCTTTGAGATGGTAATTAGAGGCACTATGCCGACGTTCATGTTGGGCGAGAGTCGGCGGCTTAAGAGCACCTCGTTCTACGCGCGATAGCCTTGGGATAGCACTGTCCGTGTAATTTTGAAAATGTTTTTGTTGTGGTGTTTTTGCTACAAGATCAGTGGCTTTGTTGTTAAGTTTTTGTTTCTGTTTGTTTTGCCGTTGTTTCTGTCTAGCTTGTCTGCTAGCTAGGGAGGCCCCGCCAGCTGCGGCATACATAGTCCTAAGTCTCTAGTTAGGCTCTGTAGAAATAATTTCGATGTAGAAAAATAACTGTTAGATCGGTTTGTAGAAAAAATAAGGTCGTCAAGGAAACTATATCTGGTTCGTAAGCTCAAAACATTTGATTTGTGCGTTATTATTGAATGACTGGAACTTTGTACTAAAACTTTACCATTTTTGATTCTATATACAATTACACGATCGTTTGTTTCTAGCTTTTAACTTAATTTTAGTGAATTTGACGTCCTTCACGTGTCTCAATATGTTCATTTTTCGTACGCTACACCTTCGCAATAACATTCTAACAATACTTAATAAAAAATACTCAATAGTAGAAAATATAAAATCTGCTCCTCATTGACGGATCAACAATCAACAACGAGTATACGTCTAATTGGTATTGTCTGCGGCTTCCTAAATAAATATTGCTTATGGGAACAAATCTCACTGCAGCTGCCTTCACTCCTGTTTCCGTTAGAGGAATATCGGGAGTGTGGAATAGTTATGGGAATGTCAGTTGCCTCGGGATGCATGGATGGAGCGCTGGACAGCTTCTCCATATTGCGTTGCTGAAAAGATAGGAGTAACCTCGATGGTTAGGGTGTTTAAGGTGACAAAGCATGTTACTACTACGGTACCTTGGTGCAGTTACATTTACTTAGCACGTTAGTGACGTTACACACTTGGTCTAGTAGAATACATCCACATGGAATATACCAAAGCCTCGCATTCGTGTGAGAAATTTTCCATCTTAATCTTTTCAGAATTACGTGTGTTGGATGCCCTTCAACAGGGTGCAAATGTGTTTAACCAACTATTTTCAAACAAACTACAATTCGTTACTTCGAAAAAAGTTTTTCAGATTTGCTGCATAATTCCGAACAGAAAAGTCCTTAGCAGCTTTTCTGTAAAGTTGACCATTCCCGAGTTATAAGAGAGTGACACAAACATTCAAAAAATGGACATCAGCTAAAAGTTGGTTGAAGATCATTACATTTGAGGTCTCCAGGTGTCTAAATTGAACGTTAAGTCATCCCTCACAAGATCCTTGAATGTATTTTTAAGCATTATTATTTAATCTTAATTATTAAAAATATGCCATGTGCAAAGCGCGCGTCTCTTCAGCGTACAGCTACCGCGCGAACACCTTATGTTTATCTGGTTGAATCAAACCGCATATATTTTTAAGATTCCTCTTTATTGTACGATGTCTCGGTCCCAACGGTGACCTTTTTCAAGTGCAATTGACACTTTTGACAATAAATATTATACTAATAATAATAATAGTCGTCTTTATTTAGAAATACACTAACTGATTGGCGAAGTTTAGCATTCGCTACTTTTACACTTAACCAATCAGTTAGCGATTGGTAACACAATACAGAAATTGTCTTATCTTCAGGAAGCAAAAATAGACAGGGACAAGATCAGAAAATGTGTAAATCAAGAATTAAGATACATCATAAAATATTGAAATGATCAGATTAAGTGGATAGTCCTTTTGGGAACATGAATACCCACACCGGGCGGTTCTGAGTTTTGTTGGTTTTGCGCGATGTCATCTCAAAATTTGATGATACGAGTAGAATATCATCTTAATACAGGACCTTTTAGGCTATCGTAGTAGCGCACTGCATTGGAATGTGCAAATGAAAAGAAAAAACATACTAGTGTCACCTGGAAGGCACATAAACAAAATATATTGACAAAAATGTCCATTGTACCGAAACGACGTACAATAAAGAAGAATTTCGAACGTACATATAGTTTGATTTAGCCAAACAAACAGGATAACTTTAAGTTGTTGCATTAAAAGTACTTCAACATAGACTGATCTTTAAATACTATCCAGGGTCCTGTAGGGGAAGGTTTGAGCTTGATTTAGATACTTGGGAACAACCTCAAAAATAATAATTACCAACCGAGGATTTTTCAGACTATAAATCACTTATAACTTGTAAAATTTTACAGGAAAGTAACTAGAGACTTCTTTGTTTAGAATGATCAAAACAATTTTATAGAGGCAGAAAGCCACTTTTTCAATTTTGCCAACCAACAAACATTACTATGAAATAAAATGAGTCGCAAAACTTCTCTGACGAATGTGAGGTTTTTGCCTCGTCTAACATGCTTTACATAATTGAGACAACACTGACTATGGTGAAGAAATAACGAAGTGCTTCTTTTTGTTCAGCGACTGCCAAAGGTTCAATAGGTTTATGAGCTTCTTGTTAGGTACCATATTGTCCGAACGGTAGTATCTTGTGTTTGTATATAACTACCCGTAGGGATTTAACCGTATGGAAAAGAAGGCAAAAGTAATAGAATGGAAAGAGGACAATTAGCAAAGCAATTAGGTACAAGGATCGTTTCTAGTCGGTGTAAAAAAATGTGTCGAAAGACAGGGTACTTCCATGAAGAACAAGAAGTTGTTCTTCATGGAACTAAACAGCTTGTTTGAGCACATCTCTAAGGCAAAACGTTGATAAAGATTGGTTTGGAAGACTTGAATCCTCTGCATGTCCGAATATCTTGTTTTGGAAATGTATAAGAGTTTATATATTGTAAAGTTTGGTAGTACGTGCAGCGAATGATTGCATACCAAAAACAATAATGAAGTGATATTGTAAATATCTATAACTACTAGCGGTTTCATGGCAACAGCTAAATCTCGATGTATCATCTATCATGCAGCTATAATAGTTGTGTATACACTGTTGCATGCAATTGCAATATAAACTATATATGCCATATAGCTGTGCTAGTTATTATTACCATTATGAGTAATCGAGAGGTTTTATAACGCTGCGATATGGAGCTTTCCCAGGTGGGTGTCACATTAAAAATTTATATGTCATTATAATGTAGAGGAACATAGTCCGTATGAAGGTTTGATGTTGAATGCAAGTAACTTGTTGAAATGTTACACACTTTTTTGTAATTGTAATGAGCTTATTTATTTTATATTTATACGTATTTTTCCGGCATATTTGCTCAAACGTATATATGACCCTCAGTTTTATATTGGCGTCTTATATCATGTAACGTGATCTAACAGGACAATAAAATATCTCTCTAATTCTATGTCGCATTCAACAATTTACCCCAATGCTTTTTCAAACTCTTTCACAGTGTCAATTCTTACTAAATAAACCAACAACTCTCTCCTTGCTTGGTAGATTATCGCGTGAATGAGACATAAGAAGAAATATTTCGACTATCACAAGGAATAAATTTATGAAGACAGCTTCACAGGTCGTTTTTTGATGTTAGAGTATGCGGTATTTAAAATTACCACGCACTTTCACCATTCATTGTAAACTTTGATAGTAAGTGCAGCGAGTAATTGCATACAAAAAATAATAATGAAGTGATATTGTACCTATATCTACAAGCTGCATCTCGTTGGATCATCTATCATGCAGCTTTAACTAACGTGTATACACTGTTGCATGCAATTTCAAAATATAAACTGTATATGCCACATAGCCGTGCTAGTCATTGTTACCATAATGAGTAATCGAGAGGTTTTAATATGCTGCGATATGGAGCTTTCCCAGGTGGGTGTCACATTAAAAATTCATATATCATTATAATGTAGAGGAACATAGTCCATATGAAGGTTTGATGCTGAATGCAAGTAACTTGTTGAAATGTTACACACGTTTTTGTAATTGTAATGTCCTTCTTTATTTTATATTTATACGTATTTTTATATCATGTAACATGATCTAACAGGACAATAAACTATCTCTCTAATTCTATGTCGCATTCAACAATTTACCCCAATGCTTTTTCAAACTCTTTCACAGTGTCAATTCTAACTAAATAAACCAACAACTCTTTCCTTGCTTGGTAGATTATCGCGTGAATGAGACATAAGAAGAAATATTTCGACTATCACAAGGAATAAATTTATGAAGACAGCTTCACAGGTCGTTTTTTGATGTTACAGTATGCGGTATTTAAAATTACCATGCACATTCACCATTAATTGTAAACTTTGATAGTAAGTGCAGCGAGTAATTGCATACAAAAAACAATAATGAAGTGATATTGTACCTATATCTACAAGCTGCATCTCGTTGGATCATCTATCATGCAGCTTTAACTAACGTGTATACACTGTTGCATGCAATTTCAAAATATAAACTGTATATGCCACATAGCCGTGCTAGTTATTATTACCATAATGAGTAATCGAGAGGTTTTATAACGCTGCGATATGGAGCTTTCCCAGGTGGGTTTATGTATCATTATAATGTTGAGGAATATAGTCCGTATGAAGGTTTGAAGTAGAATGCAAACAAAATGCTGTTATAATTCTATGTCGCATTCAACAATTTACCCCAATGCTTTTTTAAACTCTTTCACAGTGTCAATTCTAACTAAATAAACCAGCAACTATTCCCTTGCTTGGTAGATTATCACGTCAATGGAAAATAAGAAGAAATATTTATACTATCACAAGTAATAAACTTATGAAGACAACTTCACAGGTCGTTTTTTGAAGTTGGCGTATGCGGTTTATAAAATTACCATGTACGTACACTATTAATTGATAGCGATTACCTTGTTTGGACCTAAAACCATATTCTGTAAGCATCTCTCTTTCGAATAGAAGTGGCGTAAATGAGAAACTTATTAGACCTGTATGGGAAAGTATACATCCGTTTTATCCATTTACATTCAAGGGGTTATAGACCGCAATAATGGACTGTTCTCTTGTAACTCCTGTGTATACCTTGTAAAAGCAGGCTATATCTCACACATATCTTTATTACATAGCACAGAAAGTTCAAATTATTTATATAACTAAATACCACTTGTTAAAGGTAGGTGCTTTTAACTATAATAATACGATTCCTGTTTCTAATGCAGTCTCGTATACATGAGATACAAACTTAAACGACTAACCTTATTACCATACTGAGCTCAATATGGATGCACTCGTGTTGTATATTATTGACTTTTCAAGTGTTATAGAGGAATACTACTACAGATGAGCAAAAGCTTATTTCAGTGATGGGTGTGTAATTGACACTGGCATGGCGATAACCAACTACGTTGCCGACATCTAAAAGGTGTTTGTTTATTTCCTATTAAGATACAAAATTCTACGCTAGCACGTCAACTAAAAATTGATATACAAGAAAATGTCAGAGGTCAGAGGAGTAGAAATACAGAAAGACTTGCTTAGCGTGGTTTTACATGTACTGTAAACACATAAGTACTCACGGAGTACACATGATAGAACAGATTAAAACGTGTCAACTGAAAAATCCTTATAGCTAGACTATACGCAAATCTATCACACCTTTTTATATATGTTGTTTGAATGAGATCATTTGTTACTGGTCGGTAGCTTATTGTAAAAGGAAATGCAATTTAATATAAGGATATTTTCAAATTCAGTGGTTCTATGGCTGGGTATTTGAAAAATATTTCGATGTTTTGTGTTGCGGTTAAGGCTTGGGAGATGTAATTGAAACTGTACCGAGTGTGATCTTACGGACATCAGGCGTTCTCTAAGGAATAATGGTTTGCAGGATTCCCTGGAGGATATATTGAATAATAGGCGAACGATTATTTTTTTAGAGTTCCGGCAGAAATGGAAATTTAGAAAATGAGTAATTTTACACGAGTTTTCAATGGAACACTCGAGTATACACATGCTGTAGAAGTAAAACGCGGTAGTGGTACACTTGGCTTCTATATTTTGGAAGTACATTATCATTTTTGGGACGTAATACAATCTCAACTAGCTAGTATTGTGAGACCACGCTATCTCCCATGGGTCTTATGTGGAATCAAACAATTTGATTGAACAATAGAACTTAGATACTTAACCTCTGATTTAAGCATACACTACTTTTTACCGCATAGGGGACGATCGACGATACATAATATGCACAGTAATAATGCAAATGGAATTATCGTTCAGTATCTGGAAAGAAGAGGTAGATTCTCCTATATACTTTTGTCTACTCGCATAAATCTGTTACTCATACTTTAAACACAGACTTTTGACAAACTAAGTAAGGTAGTAACGTTGCCAAAAAGTCAAGGTCTTTGAAGGATTTTAAGTTAAGGACCTTGAACAAAGTGAGCGGCACCAAAGAATTGCCGATTCCCTACTTATTGAACTCCTATGCAAGTAATTCTTAATGAGTGAACCACCGGTGCAGTAATCCTTCTCGGTACTCCTACCAACTTTTACGATATAATTCTGTGCTTAGAAAAAAGTACATTCGCCGATTTCTCGTGCTTTTATCACACGCATTGTTCTGCATAAAATTCGATGCCAAACAGAGAACCGGATGCCACCCACCAAGTGCAAATCATTCAGACGTGGTAGAAAAACCCAATTTCCGACAAATCTGGGATGCTGTTACGCCGCCGTAATTGTTTACAGCGTTCAGCATTTAATTGCTGCTGTTTAATTGGAATGTTGACATTCATGAACGTACGTCGGTGTTTCAAATTCTGCTCTGAAGAATTATTGATTTGCATGAGATTTCGGCGTAAATAGCACACATCATTTTTGAAAAAGGGGATGAAATGTGTAACATGTTTCAGTTGAAAAGACACAAAGAAAAAGGATAATCTGGTATTATCTACTTCTACTCTACCGCAAAAAGAAACACAGAAAAGGAAAATAAGAGGATATAAGTATCTGGGTTAAGAAGGAATAAGAATAATAGGTTTTCAATGCCGAGGTCAAGAAAATAATATGTATACCTACAAAAGAACAATAAAAGAAATAGCGTGTTAGCCCAAACTACAGAGAATAGAAATTGGTAATTCCTGAAAAAAGCTTAGCAGATATCTAAAAGCTGTAAATAAAAGGAGGGTTCTTTGTAATCTCAAATACTTAAAAAGATACAGGCAGATATGCGTTGTTTTGTATAAACAATGGAAGAAGCTCCAAATTCAGTATTTTGCTTGTATAATTTTTAAATTGGATTCTATAAATAATCGGTAAACTGGTGCCTTTAGAGCCTAAAAAGACTTTCAATTTTATTTTTCAATGATTAAGATCGATAGACAATTAAGCTAAATTTTTTTTAGCAATATTGAGTAAATCAGTCCAACTATTGAAATAACAATTGTAAATGGCTAAAGATTGATGAAAGTAAGGGTATTATTGGTGTTATTATGTGTGCTGAATATCAGCCGGATCGGTTTAATAGTTTATTTAAAAAGCTAATTGTTTATCCCAGAGACGAATTAGTTAAACAACTGTTCTTGCCCAAGTTATAGTCCTAGAACGTTTTACAAAAGTGAAATGGATTCTTATAGGTTTAACGCTTTAAGAATTTATGCAAAAAATTACTTATTTGTTTCAAAATTGTTGTTTAATGTTTAATGTTATAAACATATACAATGACATCATTATTTTTCAATATAATTTGTTTTAACATCTGGATAGGTGGTTAAAAAAGGCATATTTAAGAAAAAAAACCTTCTACGAGAAGTCAAAATAATTTTTTGTAAATTCGTATCTACTTCATTTATAAACATAAACACTCGAAATTATTATAGATTTTAATCAAGGATATTGATTTTATGATCCAAAAATATAATTTTACTATTAGTTCAAAGGTCTTCAAAAAATTGCCAATTAAAGTGAAGATACTTCCGAAAGTATTTCCGGGTGAGGTAGTGGAGCAATCAGCTCTAGCTCGATTTATTTTTTAAAATTGAGTCTCCAAATCGGAGCGCGCTGTAAAATTTTGCATTATCTCGGCTTCTAAACAAAGTAGAACCTTTTTTTAATTTGGGGTAACTCGTCGAATTCATGACATCTGGGATATTTTCATTGACCTGGAAAATAGGGAAATCCCGGAAAACGTTTATTCTTTAAAACTAAATTACTATGAAAGAATAATAAATTAACATACATCATTTACGTTTCTTCTCACTCTAATAAAACACTATATTTTTATATTTTACACTAAAATCGTTTGTACAATTCATAGTTCAGTTAAACACTCTAATAAATTGTAATTGATATTGATTTACGTTTGCCTTCCATTTATATTTACTTTATTTTCATTCTCTGTGTTATAATAATATTATATAATGTATTTTGTATCATAATATTTTATTAATTAATTAATATTAATACTAAGTTTTATTTGGACGCTCTACTTCTTCAATATTTGTATAACTCATTTCTTCAAATAAGTCGTCGATTTTCTCAGTCTGTTCTTCATCAATTCCAATTACTGCAAGGTTGTAGCATTTGGTGTCATCATCTCCATCATTATCTTGGCTCCTATTGGTCGTAGAAGGTCTTTTAAAATATGCGTTTTTTAACCACCTATCCAGATCAACTTGTTAAAGTAAATTAGGTATATTGAAAAATAACGAGGTTATTGTAAATGTTTATAAGTATAAAAGTTACTATTTCTAAGATCATTTTAAACAATTTTGAAATAAACGACTAATTTTTTTCATTAATTTCACTTTTGCAAAATGTTCTATGACCAAATCTTGGGCAAGAACGATTGTTTAAATAATTCGTCTCTAGGATAAACAATTAGCTTTTTACATAAACTATTGAACCGATCCGGCTGAAATATAGCCAATGATGCCCTCATTCTCTCAAATTTCCAGCCATTTACAATTGTTATTGCAATAGTTATAAACATTTATTAAATATTGCTAAAAAGATCCGTATTTAGCTTAATTTTATCAATCTTTATTCCTGAAAAACAAGATTGAAGGTCTTTTTATGCTCTTAACTCTTCAGTTTACCGATTATTTATGAAATCTAATTTGAAGATTATACAAGCAAAATACTGAATTTTGGGCTTTTCCCACTTATAAAAATCGGCGCATATCTTTTCATGTATTTGTCATTTAAAACTTCCAGACATCGCCTTTGTTTTTATCTAGCCTGATCTATGTCAGTATCAGTGCAAATAATGAATGAAATTTGGCATATCAGTAGTCAGATTGGGTAACCAACTATTACTAGTCTGTAAAGATGATGACAAATTAATGATATTAGATCCTAATACCCCGATAAACGCTGAAGTTCCTGTTGCAAAGGCATTTGATCTCTGCTCGAAAATGGGGCACGATTTTGAATGGGTCTATCAGTTCAATAAAACATGGCCCTATCATAGTTATATCACGGTCATGCTTGATGTGTCAGGCGCCTTCTTTCAACAACCGTGGTTTATAGAAAAATACTCCTATACTCATATGATTTGTGAGTCTTCATGAGTTATTGTATTTCTGAAAATTATTCATACACTGGGTATAAAGCAAATATGGCAAAGATGCTCAATCAGTTTTGTCATCAACGACATGGAATAATAATTATAATGTTGATTGAGCTTTAAACTTACATCAGATACAGCACTTCAACGCTTGGTGCAAACACGACCGACTCGAGCAATTTATAACAACGATAATGATCAGTCGTGATTTTCAAGTCGTAACCTTTTTACAACAAACCAACGGTTCGTAGCCATGCAAGCTTTTTCGCCCGGAAATTTTTATTGTGTGCATTTTATTGGAAAAACTGTCCGAGTAGCGTTAAGAAAATTTACTTTACGACATAAGAATTTCAAGGCTCTGTTATCTTGGTTGTAGAAGTTAAATTTGTATGTTTGAACACATTTCAGTATCTCCGTGAATCATGCTACAGAGTTGCCACATGTTTGTTGAATATAAGAAAAACCAATCAGCTATCTGAATTTCAGAATACTTTGGCAAGTCTTGAGAATGTACAGAGTGAGTGTCAGTATGATTCTACTGGAGAACCTAATATTACTTTAAATAGTGCATGAGTATTGAGTTTAATTCAGTATATCGTTAGAGTTTTCCAAATAAACATGTAATAGCTTACAGGATGTAGGGTCCCTCACAAAATAAATCTTTTTAAGGGTGGTTTTTGATAAAGTTTGAAATGACTGTACTTGTTGCGGTTTTCATTTTTTTGTTGGAGTGGCGATTCTCAAATGCGGA